GGGAGAGGGCAGTCAGCAAGATGGTTTGTCACCAGCAGCAGCAGCACTCATCCCCTCCACCCCCCCCCCCCCCCCCCCCGTACTTGGATAGCATGCGGTTACCCGTCTCCTTCCACCCGTAAGAAGTAAACGGGAGAGTAAGAGGGCGATAAGCAAGAGGGGCCGCTTCGCTTTGAAAACGGCAAATGGCTGCAGCAGCCGCAGCAACGGTTGAAAACTCACCTGAATTCCGCATCCGCGGTATAAACATATCGATCCAGCAGTGTACCGTGACAGCTCCTCGCCGCCTCGCAGCCGCTTTGCGGGAAAAGGGGCGATGCGAATCCAGAAGAATCTACAATAGATCCGGGAAGCAGGGTGGGTCGGAGCTGGAAGATTGCTAAGTAAGTGATGGTGCTGAGCGCGATGAAGACAGGCAGGACGCGACGACTGCTAAGAGCCGACCGTAGATGCCTGACGATGACAGCGGGGCTTGGAGCGTGAGTACGCGACATAATGAGCTGTCCGTTAACAGATTGTGAACCTGGGGCAAGTGTTTTACAGTTGGTTGGGAAAAACCAGGTTTTGTGTCGTGAGGGTGCGTGAATTGCAACACTCGCAGGCGATTTCACTGGTGCCTACAGCTCGCCGGTCAATCAGTAGTTCTAGTCCCAACCAACTGTTTTACAGTTGGTAAACTTGGGTCCCTGGCTTTACGTAACCGCCGCTAGATTTGGACCGTTAAGAATGACTACAACCCGTCGTTCTCGGCCGATTCCATAAATTCGGTGTCTTTATGTAAGACCGCGTTGAGTTGGTTTTCGAGACCCAATGCAGGTGACCCTCATTCTAATTTTCGACCCGCATAGCTAGAGACTTCTTACCTAAGTCGCTATTTCAAAACCAGGCGAGCCGCAGCCACCCGCGGCAGTGTATAGCAGCGAGAGACAGAAGCGCTTTCCACGAGAAACATTCCATTGCTTCTCTCGGAATCTGTCTTGCTCACTGGAACTCTCGCTGACTGGAACTCTTGCTGACTGGAACTCTTGCTGACTGGAGACTGAGGTTGCATTACTGGTCACCAGTCTAGCTTCTAGTCTAGCCAAGTGGCCAGCTTCCAGAGTGGTTCAGAACTCTGCGCGCTTTTCTAGAGCGGTTTAGAGCTCTGACCCGGGACAAGACAAGAAGCTTGGCTGGCGGCCGGAAACACTCCCTGAGGGCTTGTCACTAAAGTACAAGGTCTGTTCAACAGGAGTTCAGTTACCACTTTTAGGTGTGTAACCATAAAACATGCCCGAACAAGTCACGCCCAGCTCACACCCGAAACCAGCGGACACCAGCGCACATTTCCAGGCACCTCCGCACGACAAGAAAAGACCACACAAAAATCCAGTTTGCCAACTGGTACCAGCAGCACCTCTAGCGAAATTCTCTAGCGACACTTTGCAGTCTCGCACGTCGCTAACGAAGAACCTACCCCCGCTGCGCCGACCGGCCCTCATTTGTTACACGCGCATCGCGCTGGTCTCGCAGGTGGGACCCCGCTACCTGCTCCTATGTCTGTGCTGGTCTCGGTGGTGTCCTTTCGAACTGCACCCTTCATTCGGACCTGTTCCCAAATCGGGATCTGTTTCAAAATCGATTCACATTGCGTACCGTCAAACGGCCCCGCCGGTAAAAAACGGGTACACGATTTATTGTGACACGCCCTGACTTTCGAGGTGTCTGAAGTACCCACGAGAATCTTTCAAACCTTCCCTGGCTGCTTCCCTAGGAGCGTCACCCTAAGCTGCAGATCGACGATCTGATGGCTGTGGGCGAGCCCAGATTCCAAATTATTCCACCTGAGTCAAGGGGAGGCAGGTGGGCGGGCTAGCCACAACTAAGGGCGTGTCATAAGCGTTCACTTTGGGGAAATGACACGGGAATAATGTCCTGCGGTACTGTTCAGATGACTGTACCGAAAATCGAACAAAACCGGTTGTGTGTCCAATAAGAGACCACGCCATTCTAGTGGACTCCAAATTTTCGTCACACGACAAATGTTTCCTCCGTGCGAGTAACAGAAAATGACGAGAATAATGACGAGGAAAAGAGGAGCGCCAGCTGAGATGAACGTTTTTCACACGTCTTGTTGCACGTACACTGCATAGCCCCTTCAGGCGAACCCCGTAGTGTATATGTTATGATATAGGAAGTGTCAATAAAATATAACGTGAGAATACAAGGTCGCTGTTGCAATGAAGGCACGCGGTTATATAGGGGTTGGCATGCTAGGGCGATAACCTCAGAACGTGGGTAGATTCGGCAATGTGGCTACAGTGTCGGACGCGGCGCGGGAAATGGTCGGGCTGACAAATGAGGCCGAACGTGACAAGTCGAGGAGTTTGGGTGTACGCGCTAACGTACAACTCAGTAAGGAATGGAAATTCCTTACATTACACCCCCCCCCCCCCCCCCCCCTAAACAAGGCCGCGGCCATCGGAAACATTCCGACGCTGATAATACGGTGTTAGAATCGGGTGTGATTCTATATCAGCGAGGGGCACCCAGCTGTCATCCTCCGACGTTCGATCGCGCCATCTGACGAGAAAATATACCATCAAACGGTTCTGCTGCGTTGTGACTCGATGACCGAGAATCTTCAGAGGCTCGGTCGTCGGTTCTTGCTAGGGCGTCAGGTGCGGTATGATGCGTTGACGTGCCAAATCCGACGAACTTGGGACGTAGGGTTATAGGAGGCTGACGTGGAAAGCCGGGTGGTGACGCCAATCAGTCGGGAGTCGGAGGTGAGCTGTGATAGGTGTTACCATATTGGTCACTTGAAAAGGGCCAGAAAAATGGGGTCGGTGTTTGCTCTGGATCGGCAGACACAAATCACGAGTGTCGAGTAGTACGAGATCCCCCACTTTGTAGCTGACGTCACGTCGATGAGGATCGGCTTGTCGGCTTGCGACTAGGTTGCCTTTCCGGATTGCCTCAGCTGCTTTTCTTTGGGCTGCGAGAATATCTTCGGCGAATCGCTGGGACCGGGGCACGGGTGTCTCGATGTTTGGTGTAGAGGGTACCACTGGGTCTTGTGCGTGATTGAGGAAAAAATGGGGATTGATGGGTTGTTGCGGAGGGCGCGTTCTTATACGCGAATTCCAGCAGCGGAAGGGATTTCTCCCATGTCCGTGGGTTAGTACAGGTAGTCCGAAGTAGTTGATACATAGTTTGGTTGACTCCTTCAGTCAGCCCGTCAGTCTGTGGGTGGTAGGCAAAGGAAAACTGTAGTTTGGTGCCGAATCGGTCCCACAGGTGGCGCCAGAAATTCGATGTGAATTTCGGGTCTCGAACTGAAATAATGCGGTGGGCAGTCCGTGCAGTCTGATGACGTTGGCGATGAACAGTTGGGCAGTTTGCTCAGTTGCAATTTTCTGTTGGCAGGGCGCACCATTTTCGTAAGTTGGTCAATGACCACGAGGATGGCGTTGTTTCAGCTGGGACCGGCTGGCACCCCCGTCACGTAGTCCATCGTGACATATTGCAAAAGTCTCTCAACCAAATCCAACAGCTGTAGGAGTCCCGCTGCTCGCTGATGGGATGTTTTCATTATCTCGTAGGCGGTGTAGGAGGACACGTATTTGCGCACGTCGTCGGCCATGTTCAGACAGTAATAATTGCGCTGCAACGTCTTCATGGTTTTGTCGACTCCAAAATGCGTGGAGGTAGGATTGTCGTGGGATTCTTGGACTAACAGGGTACGAAGTAAATCGTAGCCGGGAACCCAAATGCGTGAAGTGTCGCGTTTATGGAAGTAGTGTCCGGTAGCGGTAGTATGCTGTTGGTGAATGGCGGAGTGGAAGAATGGGTCGATTTTGAAGTCGTGGGTAAATAGTCCGGTAAGGATTGGGCTATTATGGGTGACTAGTATGGCGGCTGTATGGGCAGTGGGTCAGGTCAGGGCATCAGCAATGTTGTTGGTACCCCGTTTGTAGGTGATGGTGTAGTGGAAGTTTGACTCGAGGAAATCGAGCCATCGGATCTGTCGCGGGTTGAGATTCGGCTGGGCTCGCACGTATTGTAGGGATTTGTGGTCAGTTCGCACAGTAACGGAAGCGCCTCTCAGGTAGCATCGCCAGGTCTTGAACGTGTGGACGATCACCAACATTTCCTGGTCGTGTACTGCATAATTTTCCCCTGCACCCTACAGCTTCCGTGATTCGTAGGCGACCGGTTGTAACCCTTTGCCGAAATCCTGTAGAAGAACTGCGCCGATGGCGATGTCGCTAGCGTCGATGATGACTTCGTATGGACGGTCAGGATCGGAGATGCGAAGGACGGGCGACGACGTGAGGGCGATCTTTAGTTGGTCAAATGCAGCGTGCTGCTTTTCTCCCCACCAAAAACAATTGTGATCTTTGAGTCGGTCAGTTAGCGGGACGGATAACACAGCCATATTGGGGATAAATCGGCGGACGTAATTGACGAAGCCAAAAGAACTCTGCAGCTCCTTGACATTGCAGGGCGGCTTCCATTCTTAGATGGTCTTGATTTTCTTGGGGTCGATTTTCACTCCTTTTGTAGAAACGATGTGGCGATAAATTCAAACTCCTACTTAAGAAAGTCGCACTTAGACCCTTTGGTGATGAGTCGGTTCGTGTGCAGTAGCGTGAAGACTCCATCAAGATCCTTTAAATGCTGTAGATTAATATATTGCTGAGGTAGATGATGACTCATTTGTCCAAGAGTTCCCTAAAAATTCCATTTATGGTCATTTGGAAGGTCGAGGGCGCGTTTGTAAGGCCAAAAGGCATCATCAGGCACTCGTAGCTGCCGTATCGGGTTCGGAATGCCGTCTTGAGACAATCTTTGATGGCGACGTGAATCTGATGGTAACCTCCTCGCAAATCAATCCTCAAGAAAAACCTGGTGCTGCGAAGTTTGTCGAGAAGTTCGTCGGCTCGCGGGATCAGCTAACATGACTTGATGGTGATCTGGTTGAGCGCGCGGTAGTCAATGCACATTCTGAATCCTTCGTCATTCTTTGGCGTGAACACTATCGGGGGGCGTATGGTAACGTGCTGGGCCGGATAAAACCTTTTGTGAGAAGGCAATCCAGCTGCTGGTATAATTCTTCTAGTTCCAGTTGGCTGAGCCGAAATTGGCGCTGTACCGTTGGATGGGCGCTTGGTTCCAGCTCGATTCGGTGGTGCTCAGGTCGGCTCGGCGGGAGTCCAGCTAGCAGGTCATCTGGAAAAATGTCAAGGTATTTCCGAATCAGGTCCGCTAAGTCCGGAGGGACGACCTTGCACAACTTCTCGACATCTTCATTCTCGACTGTCGATGCCACCTCGCGAAGATCAACGATATATGCTGCAGCTCCAGCCTTCATCGCGCGCTTAAATATGATCACATGGACTTGGATGTTTCGCATGCGAGGCCCACATGGGCAGCTTGCGGGAAAGTCCATTGAGCTTGATGCTGCAGCCGCCTGTCGTCTAGTCGATCTTCGGGTTGTACCGTCGCAACCAATCATGTCCCAGCAGCACATCGCACCCGTCAAGAGTCATCGCCAGTAGCCCCATGCAAAATTTTACGTGCTCGCTACAGGTAAAACTGACATTCTCCACCCGCTCTCGTATTGCTAGTGACATTGCACCCACCAGTCGGGCGTCGATTTCAGGTAAACACTTGAGTAAGGGAATACCCTGTTTTTTAGCCCTGTCCAGTTGTATGAGACTGTGACTCCGCCTCCATCAATGAATATCTTCAATAACCCCCCGTTTACTTTACTCTCCACCAACATAGGGTTATCAACAGTTTCGTCCCCCTTATTCGTCCGGGTCTGGTCGATTGCAGTAATCGGGATCACGACCCGGTGGGGACTGTGTGGTTCGGGCGAAGAAGCTTGCTCGTCAGTAAGGGGCCCGGTACTTACTACCACGACCCATTTTCCGGTCGCTCCTCCAGCTTCTTCCCCATAGAATTCTGGAGGGTTATGAATTCTTGGCAGTTGCGTCAGATGTGACCCGGCCGGCCACAGTGGTAGCATAGCCTCGTATTTCACGGAGCAACTGCGTAAATATCCATTGCGTCGACCCCTTTTATCGTGTCGCGCTGGTACTATTCTCGAGGGCGACCTCCGTTGTAGAAGTTCGTCCTCGGCTTCGTGATCGAATCAACGGCTTCGGCGAGTTGGATGTAGTCTTGTAACCACTTCGTAGGGCGTTGCAGTATTTTCTGGTACTGTATTCTAGGCTTCAAGCTGCCCATGTACCCGTCGACCTTCTGCAACTCGTGCATGTAGCCACATCTGTCCACCAACATCAGGAACGACGCGGTGTACTCGGACACAGATCCTAGCTACTTCCACATGCGTAGAGTTTCGTGTGCCTTGTCTGAGTCAGTTGCCTGCTCAAACCGCTTGCAAAGCTCTGCGCACCATGTTGCCCACGTGCGAATATGGGTCGCTCCGAACAACATGTCTGCCTCGTCTTCGTCGTCGATTTTTTCGGATCACTCGTGCTGTCCTTTTGTGCGAGTTGCCGGTGAGTCGACGATGACCTTCCACCACTGTAGGGCGGCCCCTTGCAACAGTGTTAACACATGGCTGATCTGCTTCTGATCATCAATGATGCCCCCTGCGTTAAAATAGATATTCATGGCAAAAATCCACTACTGCATTGTCATGCCTTTATTAGCTGGGTCGAAAGGAGTGGGTTGCTGATATCTTACGCCACCACTTGTCGAGCGCGGGGCTGTTGCCGCTAGTCATGCTAACTCTACTGGCGACAGTTGCTGCTCACCCGCGTCGCGTCGTGCATCATCGCTTGGCTCCTCTGAACGCTTCTCCTGCGCCTGGCGAAGTCGCTGGTTCTCGTCGCGGAGGTCGTTGACAACGCTTGTCAAATTCTTCAACTGCTCCATTAATGCTTGCAGGTCCATAGTTTCCTGGGTAGGGTTCGCAGCAGTCGAGGTGGACTGTCCCTCAAATGTTGAGTCAGGCTGGGCCATGGCGGTCAGGACGGGGCATAAGCTAGCGCACACGCTGTAGTTGTTGACGTTAAAATATTTACGATCCAAGACAACTGCTGTGCAGCCAAGCTAATCCCCTCTAACCACCCTTAACTAAGTAGACGAGGAAACGGAAGGTTCCTAGAAAGGTCGGGCTCTGATACGGGCTGTTATGATATAGGAAGTGTCAATGAAATATAACGTGAGAATACAAGGTCGCTATTGCAATGAAGGCACGAGGTTATATAGAGGTTGGCGTGCTAGGGCGATAACCTCGGAACGTGGGTAGGTTCGGCAATGTGGCGATATTGCTGGACGCGACGCGGGAAAGGGTTGGGCCGACAATGAGGCCGAACGTAACGAGTCGAGGAGTTCGGGTGTACGCGCTAACGTACGACTCAGTAAGGAATGGAAATTCCTTACAGAATACCTCCCCAAAACAAAAATAAGCTTAGCTACAAGCGCTTTTCGGGTAACTGAATGGCCTAGTGAATTGAATATGAACGCTTATGACACGCCCTAAGGGATGGGAGATTTGAGGCAGTTTGGTCACTCCGTGTGGGACCTGGGCTCCTAAAGTGGAATTCGGTGCATGAATTGTGGGGCCATAAAACTGTGGCAGGTACTGTGTGGCGTTCGGGATCAGGGCGTAGTTTCTGCCATATCCTACAATCGTAGTATGGAAGAAATCCACTGGAGGAAAACGCAAAGCCTCTGACTGGAGATGAGATTCATGACACGAAATTCAGACTGAAGTCGTACCTCGAGGTTGTCTGTCAGTGTGACAGAAAACCTTGACCAAGGACTCAAAGTTAGGGCGGATCACATTCGGCTCGAGCCGGGGCCCAATTCGAGCCTAGGACTCAATGTTGGAAATAAATTGCGAATTGGAGGCAAATTGCGAATTTGGAATTGAGCCTAGCTCGTTTGTGAAAGAGGCCCCGCGAAACTAGTTGCGAAGATGATCAAAGTCACGATAAAACAAGTATCGAGGTTTCAAACGTCACGAAAATTGTCGAGCCCAAACTGCCTTCGTTGGCGAGGTTGTCTAGCGGTGGGACGGCTGCCCTCGTTTCTTAGTTATTCAGTAGCGATTCATCACGAAGTCATTATGTTTTGTGATAGCACGAGCTCAAACCCATCACATGATGCTCAATTTCACCGGATGAACCCACGAAACACGCCTCCGTGAAATTGATGCCAAATGTTACCCGCCCTAACAGGATCTGTTATAACAAACCCAAATTACTACTGACCCAAGAGATTTGCGAAAAGACATTTAAAGTAATTATCGTTTGAGTGTGAAGAGCAAATGCACCATAGTGGTGCCTGACTTTTCTTATCCAGCATAGTTGGCATGTAGTGTTGCCAGGCTGTCAAGGTGAGAACAGAAACTTGAAGCTAGAAGAGCTTTTGCTATCAACACAAAGGGGGTTCCTCTTAGCAAAATTGCAAAATCTGCTTCAACCACAATGCTTGAAATCCACCTGCTAGTGACACAAAAATTGTAGCTAATGTGTGAGTGATTACCGGTATATACAATGATGAAAAGAGCAACCAGAAGAGATCCGCATGCTAGGTACAACAAGATTCGCCAAGTCATACTGCTAGAAACGTTTCAGTCAATCACCTTGGTATCGTTCCACAGTCACATTGAGCGCATCGCTCACTCACCTCCTGAGCCCTTATTTGTCCGCATATCACACCATGCTATGTGCACGCAAGCACAAAATGTCACATGGAAACGTCGCTGGCGATGGATTTGAAGTGCCACATGCCATTTTAGGTATGCTGCTTGGGAGGCAACCCTTTATTAGTCGACTCAAAAGCCACTATAGTCATTTCACTTTGAGAACATTGCTCTTGTGGAGCTGAAGTGCCACAAGCCACACTCACGGTGCTGCATGGGAGGCGAGGTTGAGCCGACTCGCCAGTCATTAAAAGTCCCATCACCTTGAGAACGTCGCTCAGTCACCTCATTGTGGCCCCTCACAATCGTCACCCCATGACCCTCACTGTAGACACGTTGTGACCCCTCATTATAGTCACCTTGGGCACATTGCTGACAGTAGAGCTGAAGTGCCAGACGTCGTTGGGATGGTGCTTGGGAGCCGACACCTTATCCAGGAAGAAGGGAATGGCTTGCATGCACAGTTCAAACTTGCATCCATACGACCTGGGGACTTTTCCTATGGGTATGGTGCTGCGAGAGAGAGAGAGAGAGAGAGAGAGAGAGAGAGAGAGAGAGAGAGAGAGAGAGAGAGAGAGAGAGAGAGAGAGAGAGAGAGAGAGAGAGAGAGTGTGTGTGTGTGTGTGTGTGTGCATGTGTGGGTGTTTATGCGTGTGTATATGTGTATGTGTATGTGTGTGTGTGTGTGCGCGCGCGCACGCGTGCGTGTGTGGGCGCGCGCATGCGTGTGTGATGGGGAGAGAGAGAGAGAGGGATAAAGAGAGAGAGAGAGAGAGAGAGAGAGAGAGAGAGAGAGAGAGAGAGAGAGAGAGAGAGAGAGAGAGAGAGAGAGAGAGAGAGAGATTGAGAGAGAGAGTGGGAGAGAGAGAGAGGGAGAGAGAGAGAGAGAGAGAGAGAGAGAGAGAGAGAGAGAGAGAGAGAGAGAGAGAGAGAGAGAGAGAGAGAGGAGGAAAGAGGGAGGAGGGGGTGGGGAGTTGAAGGGAGAGAGGTCAATGGATAGCGAGGAAGATGGGGATGGTCTGCAAGCACAGGTTGAACTTGCATGCGTTCGGCCTTGAGACTGTGAATATCGGCATGGCGCTCCATGGTAGAGAGTGAGGAAAGAAGTATTTTGAGTGGGGGAGGGGGGAAAGGGAAGGGGGGTAAGGAGCTATGAAAGGGATGGCCTGCACGCACAGGTCGAAACTTGCCTCCATACTACCCTAGGACGGTTGCTATGGGCATGGTGCTCACACGTAAATAGGAAAGTGAGAGGACGGGTGGGGGGAGAGGGGGGTTGGGGTGACAGCATGAATGTTGAGGAGGAAGAGGATGGCTTGCACCATCACTCTTTGCAGCACTCACCACTGCTTGCAGCACTCACCACCCTTTGCAGTCACCACCCAACACGAAGCCAGAGTCTCGCCATGGTTACCACCAAATTGATACAAAGCCATTATTCGCGTAAACAGCACCACCACTGACCGCAAGTCCTCTTTTTTATGCGCCTGAACCTTTTCAACAGCCACACAATGGCAAATGAATCCCCGCTCGGGTTCTTTCACATTCACCATCCATTGGAACCCCTGTCAACCACTCACCACCCCTGGCAAATGAAGCTTCTCTTTACCATAGGTTAAGTGTGATATGCTTTGGTGGGCCATGGTGGGATTGTGGTAAGGTGAAACATGAGGTTATATGTGAAACAATAACTTTTGTACAATGCGAATCTATATGCGAAGTTCGTATCTAAATTGCAACAAAGAGGTGGCATGCGTTGGGCTGATTTGCATGGTGCAATGGAATGGAATCACTGTCGACAGACTTGCTTACTTGCAGCAATCTCCTCCTCCATCAACTCTTGCCTTATGCTGCTGCTGACACCAGGCGAAATACGTACTCTCATTAATCCAATTTGCTTACAGGCTAGGATCTCTTCCTCTCACAGCATTAGGCTTTTGCTGCTGCTGACGCTAGGAAGGCTAGAACAGAAGATGCTGGGCATCATGGGCTCCTGGTGCTGCATCACGCCTAGGATGCCCAGATCCACAACGGCATTGAAGCGGAGGGATAGCATGGGACGAGGGGAGCACAAAGCACAACATGGCAAGCGGGGGATTACGCCCGGAATTTACAGGTCCACTATGAGACTGCCTGGGGGACATGGGAAAATGGGGACAACGCATGACACGGGGCAAAGGAAGGGGTAGAAGCCGATAGGCATGATGGGCTTTTGGTGGAGCATCACTTCAAGGATGCCAAGGTCGACTGCCAGCCTACAATGGGGGCAGAGTAGGGGGGAGGGGAATGACCATTGTTGATTATGGCTACAGAGACCGATGCACACCCAGTCATAGCGTAGCAATGCAGGGCACTACCGAACCGAACCGCACTAATTTCACATTTTTAACAATTGCACTGCACTGTACAGTGCACGATGGATCTTGAATAAATTTGCACTTAGAGCCCTTGGTGAGTGAGCAATGCTCTTGAAGTAGCATGAAAGCTGCCTCCAAGTCGACTGGCGCGGGTGTGGTAGTGGTAGTTGCGCCGTATCCACATGGATAGATGCCCCTTGGGGCATGTAGGGCGAAATTTTGGGGTTGGATTAATGATCAAAATTTGAGAAATATGCCCCATGGCTTGAGTTACGTATGGTTTGTTATGAACAAAAGAAAAGAACACTGGTTACAAAATACTATTTTGTACGTGGTTTCTCTGATATCGGCAATTGTTGTGCATTTTGTCGGCCGAAGATGTTGCTACATTTGCTAACTCAACGAGCCAATGAGAAACCAGCCCCTGTGAGCTTTGGAAGTCAGTTTATTCAATGGCAATGTATTGCCTACTCGCCATTGGCCTACCATACGTGCTCATGTGGTAGAAAGCCACTTCGCGCGGTCGAGAGCAAACATCCGCGCATGTGCGCAGGAGGGCAAGCGTACATGACAAAAAGCTATGTAGTATTTCATTTTTAGTTCGAGAAGTTTTGTACACTAGAAACGAGCTTACATGATGAACGCTCTCCAAGGGGGGAGGTATGCTGAGGCGACTTCCGGACCCTGGGTCTCTCAGTGGATAGCTGCCATGGACGCAGAGATGGCATCTTGAAGATCCATCGGCACCTACAGTACGTCGACGCAGTTCCCCCACCTGGGGCGAACATAGTCGATGGCCGGTGGTTCTTCAAGGTGAAGCGCCCTCCTGGAGAGCTGCCGGTGTTCAAGGCGTGCTTGCTAGAGGATTTAGTCAGTGCGAGGGTGTTGACTTCTTTCAGACCTTACTCCTGACCTCGAAGATAAATCTTAAAAGCTGCTTCACGTAGCAGCACAGCGCGACTAAGACTTATCTTCGATGACCAAACTATGATAAATCTTAGAAGTCCAGACTCCGTTCTACATCCTAGTCTACGTAGACGACCTGGTCTTTGCTACTACAGACAGAGACGCACTAGTCTCGGTAAACGCCGAACTGCTGAGGAGACACATTTGCACTGACCTAGGAGAGCTGCGCCGCTACCTTGGGCTGCAGATCTCCAGGGAAAGAGCAGCACGCACCATCACTCTCACACAGTCACACTGAGTGCGCCAGGTCGTTCAGAGGTTTGGTCTTCAGTTCTCCTCCGCACAACCCACCCCTCTACTAGTGGATCACAGGCTCTCGGATCCAGTCCCTGACGAGCCAGTTGAGCTTAGTGGTCAGTACGCAGAGCTTATCGGTTGCCTCATATATCTGATGACTTGCACCCGTCCAGATCTCGCATACCCTCTTAGTCTCCTCGCTAGCTTTGGGGAGGCAAGCACACACCGACCCCAGCAGTGGTCGGCTGCTAAGTGGGTGTTGCGATATCTAGCGAGTACAGCAGGCATGGGGCTAGTGCTTGGAGGACGCAGACCAATGGTTCTCACCGGGCACACAGTCGCTTCGTGGGAGGACAACGCTGAGACGCTCAGGTCCTCCCAGGGCTACTACTTTAGCCTTGGTGCAGGCGCTATCTCGTGGAGGTCTACTAGCTCGTCGTCTGTTGCACAGTCTAGCTGTGAGACTGAGATCTACGTAGGTGTCATTTCGGCATAGGAGCTCAGCTGGCTGACGTTCTTGCTCACTAACTTAGGTGAGCGGCCTAGCTCTGCCCCGGTCCTGTACGCTGACAACAGGGCCATGATCCTCCTGTGTCCGGAGCCTCGACTAGAGGGCAGAGCGAAGCACATCGAGCTGCGGTACTTCCTCCTGCCCAAGCTACAGCAGCACCGCCAGACATGCATAGTACACGTGGCCTCTGGTGCCAACAAAGCTAATATCTTTACTAAGGCGCTTGCGCCTAAAGATCATCAGCGGCACTGCTTACTGCTTGGTCTAGTTCCAATAGCTCCTCACTTACTTGGACCCTTACTTGTATAAACTCCTTACACTATCTTGATTGGCCTTGTGGCTCATGTCTCTAAGGTTGGACTAGTAGTGCCGCCTTGAGTTATGCTTGCTTAGTTTGTACTCTTGCTGACTAGTCTTCGGTCCCTTGCCTCAGAGGTTGGACTAGTAGTGCCGCCCTGAGCTGCGTATCAATTCCTAGGCACCGCCCCTTATCTAGCCTAAGGGGTGTGTCAACTTATACCATATTTGCCTGGATGTAGCACTACGTGGTCTTATACCGTTTTAGGAGCAATTTGGTCAAATTGCTTATAAATGAGTAAACTAATAATAGATACGGGACTTCTGGAATGTTAAAGGTAATGAAAAAATTGAAAGTGTTTTTCCGTTACCCTTCTTGTTTCATGTTTCCCTGCCAGGGTTTTCGCATCGAAACTGGATGACCAACTGCTGGAGGGAAATTGGATTCCATTCCCTGCTAGATGGCACAACCGGATAGGCGTGACCCTCGTTCCTACCTCGCACCACTTGACGCGCTCAGCTCCCCCCACTACACGTTCCTAGTCGCGCAACTCCCTCGTTTCTTGCATTTTGCTTCGACATGTAAACTTGGTATCGAAAGTAGACATATTCAGCATAAAGGGTTAAAGGGGACGTATTCTATATTCAACAGAAATGACGGGTCAAAAGCGGGAAACCGTAATTAAAGAACAGCCTGAAATACAATACATATTGTTAGAATACTAGCTAGTATTGACGCTGCGCCGGCAGCACGACGGCGCCGTCACGCCGCCACGACTGGACGTCGACGGTGCCACCACGGCTTTTCGTCGACGCCACGACGGCGCAACGCCACGGCAGCGCGTCGAGACGGCCGCGGCACGATGCAGCTAGCGGCGCTTCAACGCCGCCACAGCAGCTCGAGGCGGCCGCCATGGCAGCGCGCTAAGGAGAGAAGCAGCTGTGGCTCCACGTTGTGGAGAGTCAGCATTTCATCCACAGTTGTCACCCATTTCTCAACATCCGTCTTGCCATGGATGAATTCAGGGAGTGCAGTGGGGAGCAAGCCAAAAGGCGTTGCCATACGCTGGATAGGCTGCTGAAGTGCTGCAGTTGAAGGAGCTGCAACAGGCGGCGGGTTGGATTGGGTGCCCAATGGGCCAGCAGTAGCGGGTGAGTGTTGGTAGATAGGACCCCTCCGAATATCCCTATACTGGTTCCGCAGGTGGGCAATAGCAGGTTGCATCGGGGCGATGGTAGATTGCAGCTCGGCAGTTGTAGTCTGTAGTTGGGTAATAGCAGCTTGCAGCTGGTCGCACGTTTTCTCCAGAGCCAGGATTTGATTGCCCCGGTTATGTAGCAGACGCTTGTGATCCCGTACCTCTCCGTATGCCATATTGAGATCGGCTTGCAGCCTAGTCCTGTCGGCCTTTTGTGTCGCCAAAGCAATATTGAGGGAGTTGATGCGTCCCTTCTACTGATTGATTGTAAGCTGCTACTCGGAGACTTGTGCCTGGAGTTTAGCCACATCATCGGAGAGCGACCATGCCTCGATGCCATCATCCTCCCCCTCTGCTCCATCAATCCCTTCTGCTTCTCCATGCTCTTCATTGCCCTCATTCTCCAAGTTAGGTCCACCAATTCAATATCAGCCATTGCCTCATCTTGCTGCTGGTTATTATTAGCAGCAAGGTTGGCTCCCTCAGGAGTCACATTAGGCTCCTCCCTCTCCAAGTTCTCCAAACCTTGACTTGAAGTCATGGTAAAATAAGGAAGAGGTTGCAACAGATCTGAAATGTTCTTTAAGATCTCTGAAGAAATCCGTTCAAGTCCCAATCACCGCAGTGAGAGGGCAAGACAATCTCAATAAAGAGATCTCTTAACAGAATTACTTAATATGAGAAATTACATGAATGACAATTTGTTGCCCAATCCCTAGCACCTCAATGCTAGGGCAAGATCTAAGCTAGATCTTGCAACAGATCGCAAATCTGAACCACACTCCTCAACGGAGTCTTCCACCAACAAGGTGGGTAAGAGAGAAAATGACCTCTCTTCAAATCTTGAATGGAGGAGGTAGAAGAAGAGGTTGTACTGGAAAATGGTCTAGAGAAGGGTTGGAATTGGTGAAGATCTTGAAGAAGCTGTCAAATTACTTGGAGAAGTTTGAAATGTCTGAAATGTCTTGAAATATCTTCAAATCATCACTCCAATGTCTTGGATTGAGGTCCAATCACCCCTCTAAAAAAAAAAGATCAAGAAAAATCCCACAAGGCTTAAGACTAACCTTGCTCTGAATACCAATGTAACAACCCTTGCCCTTATAGCATGGGCAACAAGGGTTGAAGTAAAAAACCAACACCCAAGATCCTAGGATATAATAATGGAGTACAAAGTCAACTAACGACCTCCTAGCGTTGTACTTAGGAAGAATCCCCTCCAAGAGGTAGCTTAAGCTTGAGGAAAACTCTTGGAGGATAGTACTTGAAGCTCTGGTTGGGTAGGGCTTCCCCTAGACGACTATACTAGAAGCTACTAGTGTAAGAAGTCTTGTGAGGAGAGCTCATGACTTCTTGTGAGAAAAATCCCATTTCAAGATTGATTTCTTGGAGTGGGAAGTTGAGAATGAGCTTCTCAGCCCAGACCCCTTCCAATGACTCCCAGCAGCTGCTCAACCTCCTCCATGGCTCCAAGGAGGTGAGCTAGGTTATGTGGCAAAAGGGTTGGATTTCCAACCAATGAGAGGTTTACATCAATATATTCAGATTAGCATATAGTGTACAGCATAAGAATATTCGAGTTGAGTTGGCACTGCCAACCAACTCCCTGGTTCTGATTGGTCACAAATCCAACCATCGCATGTGTTGGGAATTTCGCCAACTCAATTTGTACAACTAAAATCTGATTGGTCCCAAGTACCGACCAATCCCAATCCTCCTCTCCCAACCCTTCTTTCCCATTTCGTGCTACCTAGGTAGCCAATTTGTGAAAGGTGGTTGGGACGGTCGTTTCTAGGCCCGTGTACTATGCAGAGGCCATGCGTTACACTCCTCCCCCTCTAGGTGGCAACGTCCTCGTTGCCGTAGAGTGCTTCTGGGGACGGGTGCTTCGAGCGCGCCGAATCACATTACGACGAGGGTCAACACCATCCACTGGTTGTGAGGCTGCTATTTGAGCCAGGTCTTCCAGATATCCGTGAACCGCAGTTTCGGTCAAATGTTCCTCTGGCTCCCATGAGTTGTGTTCATGCCCATAGCCTTTCCACTTAATAAGGAACTCGCGTACTGTCTTGCGGCCGCGCTGTCGATCACGGTGCATGAGCACATGCTCGACCTCATAAAAGAGTTCCTCATCGAGGACGATCGTTGGCGGAGGTAAGTACTTGCCTTCAGCAATGTACTTATTGAGCAGAGACACGTGGAAGACATTGTGAATCTGCAATGTTTCGGGTAACTTCAACTTGTAAGCTACCACACCAACGCGCTGGATCATCTCGAACGGCCCAATCCATTGAGGGAACGACTTTTTTGCCCCAGGGATTTTGAGACGAATGTTCTTCGTGCTCAATAATACCTTGTCTCCAACCTCAAAAGAGACTTCCCGGCGTTTCATGTCGGCATAAGACTTTTGTCGCTGCTGGGACAGCTGCAGCCAGCGGTGAGCAGACTTGAGCGCTTCTAGCTGCTTGCCCACAAAGTCTTTCGCGGCAGGGACTCGCAGTCCGCATATCCCATGCGTAGTAGGTGTCGTGGGATGCCGACCACAGTTCAGAATGAAGGGTTTTTCATGGGTACCTTCATGGACGGAATTGTTCTCTGCGAACTCAACCACATGTAACAAGTCATCCCAATCATCTTGAGTTGGGCCAATGAAGGAACGAAGCATCTGCTCAAGAGTATGATTCGTCCGCTCTGTCTGCCCATCCGTTTGGGGATGGAAGGCTGACGACATCTTTAACTTCGTTCTGAGTGTCCGGGTAACTTCGTGCCAGAACCGGCTTGTAAAGCGCGGATCTCGATCGGACACTAGCACACGCGGTAACCCGTGTAAGCGGAACACGTGTGCTACAAACAACTTGGCCGTATCTTCCGCGGATACGTCTGTTGTAGTAGCAACGAAGTGCACCATTTTGGTCAATCGATCGCGCATTTTTGGGAGGTCTGTGATGAAATCCAGTGAGACACTCTCCCAAGGTTCGTCTGGAATCTCCAGTGGTTGAAGCAAACGACCAGGCTTTTTCGTGTCTGACTTGTTGCGTGCGCATGCATCACAACGCGACACGAATTGTTGGACCTCAGTCCCCAATCCAGGCCACTAGTACACATCACTCAAGGCCCACCGGGTTTTCTTGATACCCAGGTGTCCCCCGTACTTGGTGCTATGCACTTCCTCAATTATATCATTCCGCAGGTTACCCACATGGTGTACCACAATCTCTTTCTCTCGCCACCTGAGCTCATGCTCGTACTTGAGGCCCTTCGTATTTTGTGGGTTCTGGAACGAGGAGTCAATATGGTATCCTGTACGGATGCGTTTCAGAAAGCCACTGAAGGTGACCTCACTCACTGGAGCCACGGCAAGAATACCAAAGCAAGCAGCAACCACTGCCTTATCCTCGGTTTCATCAAGCCCAGTCGCTGCCCCTATCGGCTGTCTGCTGAGGGGGTCAGCCATGTTCGTAGAACCTGCACGATATCGAATATCGAATGTGAACCCACTAAGGAGTTCTGCCCAGCGGGCTTGGCGCCGAGTGAGCGTGGCTTGAGTAGAGAAATAGGTGTTCGGACAGTGGTCTGTCGTGACCACAAACTCCACACCTTCTAGATAACATCGCCATGTTCGCAGCGCATGCACGACCGCCAGCAACTCTTGTTTTGACGTCGTATAGCGTTGCTCTGCCGGGGAGACCTTCCTACTCTCAAATGCCACAGGACGGCCTTCCTGCAAGAGTACCGCCCCAATCCCTACTGTCGAGGCGTCTGTGACCACCTCATAGGGTTTAGAAGGATCTGGCAATACCAAAACCGGACCATTGGTCAGCTTTGTTTTGACTTTGTCAAATGCCTCTTGGCATTGTCGAGTCCACTCCCATGCACTACCCTTTCGGGTGAGTGCTGTCAGAGGGGCAACGACAGTCGAGTAATTTTCCAAGAAGCGGCGGAAATAATTGGCCAGGCCTAGGAAGGACCTGATCTGACACACGTCTTGTGGGACGGGCCAATTCTGAACAGCCACCACATTCTTGGGGTCGACTTTAAGTCCGTTGTTCCCGACAAGATGACCGAGGTATTCCAGCTCGTGTTTGTAGAAATGGCATTTCCATAAACGAGCATAGAACTTGTGTTCTCGCAACTTCCCTAGCACCCATTTTAGGTGTTGAGTGTGCTCGTTTTCAGTCTTGGAATAAACCAAGATATTGTCGAGGTAAACCAGAACGAAGTGTCCGATAGCTTCGCGAAACACATCGTTCATGGCCCTCTGAAAAGAGGCCGGAGCATTGGTCAAGCCAAAGCTCAGCACGCGCCATTGAAAATGGCCAAACGGCGAACGTAACGCCGTCTTGGGAACATCTTCCTCAGTGATGCGCAGTTGGTGGTACCCTTGTGCCAGATCCAACGCGCTAAACCACTGAGCACCATGGAGTCGATCGAACAGGTCTTCTATCCTTGGAAGATGATATCTGTTCTTGATCGTGATCTTGTTTAGGGCGCGGTAGTCGACGCACATGCGTAAGCCACCACCCTTCTTGTTAACGAACAAGATTGGTGCTCCATGTAGTGATGCGCTTGGCTCAATCCATCCCTTCTTGAGGTACTCCTCAATCCGTTGTTTAGCCTCCTCGTACTCAGCTGGACTGAGGCGATACAGAGGTCGAAACGGTGGGAGCTTTCCAGGCTCCACAGGGATGGTGTGGCCCACGGCGCGGTCAGGAGGGAGTCCGTCTGGAATAGACCCAAAAACCTCCTTAAACTCATCCACCAGTACCTTCATCTGAGGTGGAAAATCCTCAATGTCTGGCGTTGGGGTTCCAGCTTCCTCGAGCTGCACGACGAAAAGTGTGTTAGCAATGCGGTAATGCTGTCCGAATTGACATGCAAGAGCAAAGCACACGTCTAGACTTTTCGTTATTTGAACCGCCGGGATGGTTGTGTCGACAAACACATGCCACTGGATTGGTTCACCATTCTTGGTGAAAGAAACCGTGTTATCCTGGAAATCGAGAATAACCTCATTTGCACGTAACCAATCCATTCCCAAGACTACGTCGACACCCGCTAGCAAGGGGAGAACGTAAGTGCGAATCTTTTCGCTATAGCCTTGGATTTCCATGTCGATCATTGTCCGTCCTTTACTTGGCATAAGACTATCGTCACCAAGACGAATGGGACATGACGGTCCTTCAATGAGGACCCCAAGCAGTGTATCGACAAGAATTTTCGCGCTATGTCTGTTAACGCGACCCGAAAGGAGTAGATTTTGTTGATGCATTGGGCGGATGGGGCATGCCACAATGTTCGACGAGGGTTTGTAGTACACCTTGACATTGTGGCGGGCTCACCCAAAGGATTCAGATTTGGTCCACCACACATGGTGTCCCTTGTCCCAAGATGCCAACACAACCCATCCACGAAGTGATTTGAACGTTTCGCCCTTTACTGTACGAGTCACCACGACGACCGCGGTCAGGGGGGTGCTCTTGAGTACAACGACTCACAACATCGAGTACGAAAGGCAATGTTTCCAGGCCACAGTAAACGACTGAGAATTTATCTCGTAACGCTTCGATGGATATAGCATCAAGTGGGTACGATCGAGGTGCGAACATTGATTTTTTATTAAAAAGAAGAGGCAAACAAATAAGAGATTTTGCATTCAGCAAGCTTCTCTAGCTTTAGTAAATCATCGTCACATAAAGCATATGCCTCATCCCCTCGATCTATCTGACCAACTAGGTACCCACACCCTAGTTGGACTTCTGAAAATCCTTCTTACTGCCAGAAGGTCCTTCGCCGCCATTGTTGTTGCCCTTAGGCTTACCACTATGCTTTATGATATTCCTATAGCGGCACTGAAATTCCATGTGACCACGGCGGCCACACCCTCGGCAGATGACATTAGAGAAATCCCTTGGTGGCCCTTTGTAACCGCCACCATTCGCCCTCTTAGCAAGAGGACGCTGCTGGTTACCATTCTGGTGGAAGGGCCTCTTGTACCCTTGGCCCTTCCCCTTGGAATTCCACTGGCCACCACCTCCATTGCCACCATCCCCCTTCGCCTGAGTCCTCGACTCAGGCTGGTCGGTGGAAGGCGTTGCTAGCATACGAACAGTCTCGTCCGTTGCTTGAACCGCCTCTTTGAGCTCCTTGTAGGTGCTCCATCTGTTGAGGCCATTTGCGACATGCTTATCCTGCAGGGACTGGGGCAAGTTCTGGAAGAAGATATACATAACTTTATTCTCAGACAGTTGCTTGCCCAGCAGTCGCAGAACGCTCTCAAACTCTTGTGCATATTTCTGCACGGAGCGCTCGCCACACTTGATGTTTTCAAGGCGACGACGCACCTCCAAGTCAGTTGTCTTGACAAGGAAAGCCGCTTTCATTGCAGCACAGAACTCGTCCTAAGTGAAAAACTTTCCACTTACTTCGAGCTGCTTCCGGCTAGCAAACATGGTTTGACTAGCATGCTCATCCAACGCGCCAGAGACAGCGGTGACACGAGCGTTGTTGCGCACGTTGTGGAGAGTCAGCATTTTATCCACTGTTGTCACCCAGTTCTCAACATCTGTCTTGCCACGGATGAATTTCGGGAGCGCACTTGGGAGCGAGCCAAAAAATGTTGCCATACGCTGGACAGGCTGCTGAAGTGCTGCAGTTGAAGGAGCTGCAATAGGCGGCAGGTTGGATTGGGTGCCCGATGGGCCAATAGTAGCGGGTGAGTGTTGGTAGATAGGACCCCCCCGAAGATCCCTATACTGGTTCTGCAGGTGGGCAATAGCAGGTTGCATCAGGGCGATGGTAGATTGCAGCTCGGCAGTTGTAGTCTGCAGTTGGGTAATAGCAGCTTGCAGCTGGTCGCACGTTTTCTCCAGAGCCAGGATTTGATTGCCCCGGTTATGTAGCAGACGCTTGTGATCCCGTACCTCTCCGTATGCCATATTGAGATCGGCTTGCAGCCTAGTCCTGTCGGCCTTTTGTGTCGCCAAAGCAATATTGAGGGAGTTGATGCGTCCCTTCTGCTGATTGATTGTAAGCTGCTGCTCGGAAACTTGTGCCTGGAGTTTAGCCACATCATCGGAGAGCGACCATGCCTCGATGCCATCATCCTCCCCCTCTGCTCCATCAATCCCTTCTGCTTCTCCATGCTCTTCATTGCCCTCATTCTCCAAGTTTAGGTCCACCAATTCAATATCAGCCATTGCCTCATCTTGCTGCTGGTTATTATAAGCAGCAAGGTTGGCTCCCTCAGGAGTCACATTAGGCTCCTCCCTCTCCAAGTTCTCCAAACCTTGACTTGAAGTCATGGTAAAATAAGGAAGAGGTTGCAACAGATCTGAAATGTTCTTTAAGATCTCTGAAGAAATCCGTTCAAGTCCCAATCACCGCAGCGAGAGGGCAAGACAATCTCAATAAAGAGATCTCTTAACAGAATTACTTAATATGAGAAATTATATGAATGACAATCTGTTGCCCAATCCCTAGCACCTCAATGCTAGGGCAAGATCTAAGCTAGATCTTGCAACAGATCGCAGATCTGAACCACACTCCTCAAGGGAGTCTTCCACCAACAAGGTGGGTAAGAGAGAAAATGATCTCTATTCAAATCTTGAATGGTGGAGGTAGAAGAAGAGGTTGTACTGGAAAATGGTCTAGAGAAGGGTTGGAGTTGGTGAAGATCTTGAAGAAGCTGTCAAATTACTTGGAGAAGTTTGAAATGTCTTGAAATATCTTCAAATCTTCACTCCAATGTCTTGGATTGAGGTCCAATCACCCCTCTAAAAAAAAAAAGATCAAGAAAAATCCCACAAGGCTTAAGACTAACCTTGCTCTGAATACCAACGTAACAACCCTTGCCCTTATAGCATGGGCAACAAGGGTTGAAGTAAAAAACCAACACCCAAGATCCTAGGATATAATAATGGAGTACAAAGTCAACTAACGACCTCCTAGCGTTGTACTTAGGAAGAATCCCCTCCAAGAGGTAGCTTAAGCTTGAGGAAAACTCTTGGAGGATAGTACTTGAAGCTCTGGCTGGGTAGGGCTTCCCCTAGAAGACTATACTAGAAGCTACTAGTGTAAGAAGTCTTGTGAGGAGAGCTCATGACTTCTTGTGAGAAAAATCCCATTTCAAGATTGATTTCTTGGAGTGGGAAGTTGAGAATGAGCTTCTCAGCCCAGGCCCCTTCCAATGACTCCCAGCAGCTGCTCAACCTCCTCCATGGCTCCAAGGAGGTGAGCTAGGTTATGTGGCAAAAGGGTTGGATTTCCAACCAATGAGAGGTTTACAACAATGTATTCAGATTAGCATATAGTGTACAGCATAAGAATATTCGAGTTGAGTTGGCATTGCCAACCAACTCCCTGGTTCTGATTGGTCGCAAATCCAACCATCGCATGTGTTGGGAATTTTGCCAACTCAATTTGTACAACTAAAATCTGATTGGTCCAAAGTACCGACCAGTCCCAATCCTCCCCTCCCAACCCTTCCTTCCCATTTCGCGCTACCTAGGTAGCCAATTTGTGAAAGGTGGTTGGGACGGTCGTTTCTAGGCCCGTGTACTATGCAGAGGCCATGCGTTACAGCAGATGCCTGACGATGACGGGGCCTGCGTGCATAGTACACGACATACCGAAGATCACGTTGTGTCGCTCCAGGCGAAATTCCAGTGCGGAAACGTGACTCTGAATCTGAATCTCAACCTGACATTGGAACAGGTTCTCTAAAAGAAGTTGTTACTTTTTATTGCAGGCGAGAAAACGAGCTAGCAGTCTATCACGACAGTGCATAACAGCCTTCCATGACCACTACTCTGAGAACGCTATCTTCAGGTGCCAATTGGGGACGTGTCGGTCGAAGTCCGCAGCCTAGCCTGAACGTTTGCCATAGCTAATGCCCCAGGAAATGGTGTAAGTTTTGTAGGAAGTTGGAGAAATCTACGGCTGGAATGGCGTTTGGGATAAGGGCGTATTTTCTCTTGATGTCCTTGATTCGGGGAAGTCAGAGTTGACACAAGGTGGACACTTAGGCTCTATCTGCTAAATGGAGCTCCACGTTGCCGCTCGGAATACACCTAGCCCGCGGTAATTTTACACCCAGTATTTTCAAAGGGGGTGCTGCCGAGAGGGTATTCACCCCCCGAAAGCAGCTCCTGAATACCAGATCCGGATACCCTTGATGAATAAATTTTGCTTGGGTTTCTAGATGAAACATATACTGCTTGATTTAGTGTTTCTCGAGTTAGGCAACCTGACCGGACGTCAGCTTAGGTAGTGCTAAAAGTTTTGGCCCGCGTGGAGTCTGCCGCGCTTAGGCCGTAGGAACAAGGGAGTACTGTCTACGCACTCAGAAATGGTCACGGTGGAAACAAAATTTATACCGCCGCCCATTTTTGCTTTTCCTCCCATCAGCACCTGTTACAGAACTGTATGCCTTTTCTGCTGCAAAATCGCTTTTATCCATGGAAGTAAGCCGGGAGTCCACGAAAGTGGTGACAGAGTCCAGGGGAGAAGCAAAACTTCAATGTGGTGTCCATGAAAGTAGGGCCTGACCACGAATGTATGAGAAGTTTCGTGGACAGTCGCGGCAGTAATTTTCCCATTGACTAAGGCTGAACCTCAAGAATGAATAACACCTAGCCCGCAGTAATTTCACACCCTGAAACTGGGTGGTAGAAGAATTTTTGTTTCCACCCTGACCATTTCTGAGTGCGTAGACAGTAACCCCTTGTTCCTATGGCCTAAGCTTGGCAGACTCCATGTGGGAGAAAACTTTGAGCACTGCCTAAGCCGACGTCGGGTTTCCTGACTTGAGAAACACTAAATCGAGCTGTAAACGTTTCGTATAGAAACCCAAGTTCTTGTTGTTTTTCAAGGTATCCGGACCTGGTCTTCAGGAGCTACTTTCGGGGGGTGAATACCCACTTAGCGGCACCCCCTGTGAAAATACTGGGTGTGAAAATACCGCGGACTAGGTGTAGTCAGGACACGAGGGTCCCAAGGACGAGGGGTTTTGGGTTTGGGCGCCTCCGATCAGGTTCGGCACTGATTAGTTCCGCACCGATTAGGACGTGGAAAAATGTGCCCGTTTTGAAGATTGTTTCACCGAACCTCGTACTGTAGAGCGAACAGTGAAAACATTTTTGTGTCTTTCCAGATCAAAATGTTATGATATGGGAAGTGGCAATGAACTATAACGTGAGGATACAAGGTCGCTATTGCAATGAGAGCACGAGGTTATATAGGGGTTGGAGTGCTAGGGCGATAACTTCGGAACGTGGGTAGGTTCGGCAATGTGGCGACAGTGCCGGACGCGATTCGGGAAAGGGTTGGGCCGACAAATGAGGCCGAACGTGACGAGTCGAGGAGTTCGGGTGTATGCGCTAGCGTACAACTCAGTAAGGAATGGAAATTCCTTACACTACCCCCCCCCTCCTAAACGAGGCTGCGGGCATCGGAAACATTCGGACGCTGATAATACGTTGTCAGAATCGGGTGTGATTCTATATCAGCAAAGGGTACCCAGCTGTCATCCTCAGATGTCCGATCGCGCCATCTGCCGAGAAAATCCACCATTCCACGGTTCTGCTGCGTTGTGACTCGATGGCCAGAATCTTCATAGGCTCGGTTGTCGGTTCCTGCAAGGGCGTTAGCTGCGGTACGATGCGCTGACGCGCCAAATCCGACAAACTTGGGACGTAGGGTCGTAGCAAGCTGACGTGGAAGGCCGGGTGGTGACGCCAATCAGCTGGGAGTCGAAGGTGAGCAGTGACAGGTGTCACCATATTTGTCACTTGAAAAGGACCACAGCAGCGGGGCCGGAGTGTGCTCGGGCTCGGCAGGCGCAAGTTGCGAGTGTCGAATAGTACGAGATCTCCCACTTTGTAAGTGACGTTGCGTCGATGACGATCGGCTTGTCGGCTTGCAACCAGGTTGGCTTTCCGGATTGCCTCAGCTGCTTTTTCTCGGGCTGCGAGGATGTCTTCGGCAAATCGTTGGGACCGGGGCAATGGTGTCTCGATGTTTGGTGTAGAGGGTACCACCGTGTCCTGTCTGTAATTGAGGAAAAATGGGGATTGATGAGTTGTGGCGGAAGGCGCGTTATTGTACGCGAATTCCAGCAGCGGAAGGGATTTCTCCCATGTCTGTGGGTTAGTGCAGGTAGCCCGAATGAGTTGCTCCATAGTTTGGTTGACTCGTTCGGTCAGCCCGTCAGTCTGTGGGTGGTAGGTTGAGGAAAACTGTAGTTTGGTGCCGAATTGGTCCCACAGGTGGCGCCAAAAATTCGATGTGGATTTCGGGTCTTGGTATGAAATCATGGCGGTGGGCAGTCTGAGGAGTCTGATTATGTTGGTGATGAATAGTTGGGCAGTTTGCTCCGCCGTAATTTTCTGTTGACAGGCGATGAAGTGCGCCATTTTCGTAAGTTGGTCAACGATCACAAGGATGGCATCGTTTCCGCTAGGACGGGCCGGCAGTCCTGTCACGTAGTCCATCGTAACGTGTTGCCAGGGTCTCTCGGGCGGATCCCAACGGCTGTAGGAGTCCAGCTGCTCGCTGATGGGATGATTTCATGTTTTGGCAAGCAGTGCAGGAGGACACGTACTTGCGCACGTCGTCAGCCATGTTCGGCCAGTAATAATGGCGCTGTAACGTCTTCATGGTTTTGTCGACTTCGAAATGCTCGGAGGTAGGATTGTCGTGGGATTCTTGTATTAGAAGCGTACGAAGTAAATTGAGCCGGGAACCCAGATGCGGGAAGTGTCGCGCTTATTAAAGTAGTGTCCGGTGGCGGTGGTATGCTATTGGTAAATGGCGGAGCGGAAGAAGGGGTCGATCTTGTAGCCGTGGGTAAATAGTCCGGTAAGGAGTGGGCTGGTCTGGGCGACTAGTATGGCGGCGGTATGGGCAGTGGGTCGGGTCAGGGCATCAGCAATATCGTTGGCGCCCCGTTTGTAGGTGATGGTGTAGTGGACGTTTGACTGGAGGAAATCGAGCCATCGGATTTGTTGCGGGTTGAGATTCGGCTGGGCTCGCAGGTACTGGAGGGATTTGTGGTCGGTTCGCACAGTGACGTCAGCGCCTGTCAGGTAGCACCGCCAGGTCTTGAACGCGTGGACGATCGCCAACATTTCCTTGCCGTGTACCGTGTATTTTTTCTCTGCGCCATGCAGCTTCCGTGATTCGTAGGCAACTGGTTGTAATCCTTCGCCAAAATCCTGTAGAAGAACTGCGCCGATGGCGATGACACTGGCGTCGGTGATGACTTCGTATGGACGGTCAGGATCGGCGATGCGAAGAACAGGTGGCGACGTGAGCACGATATTTAGTTGGTCAAATGCAGCTTGCTGCTTCTCTCCCCACCAAAACAATCGCGATCCTTGAGTCGGTCAGTTAGCGGGGCAGAATACCAAGCCATATTGGGTAAAAACCTGCGGACGTAATTGATGAAGCCCAAAAAACTCTGCAGCTCCTTGATGTTGCTTGGTGGCTTCCATTCCTGTATGGTCTTGATTTTCTTGGGGTCGATTTTCACTCCTTCAGTAGAGACGATGTGGCCCAAAAACTCCAACTCCTGCTTAAGAAAGTCGCACGTAGACCCTTTGGTGATGAGGCGATTCTTGTGCAGCAGCGTGAAGACTGCATCAAATCCTGTAAGTGCTGCTCCCTGCTGCAGCTATAGATTAGCATATCGTTGAGGTAGATGATGACGCATTTGTCCAAGAGTTCCCTGAAAATTCCATTCATGGTCATTTGGAAGGTCGAAGGCACGTTCGTGAGGCCAAAAGGCATCACCAGGTACTCGTAGCTGCCGTAGCGGGTTCGAAATGCCGTCTTGTGACAATCTTCGGCGGCGACGCGGATCTGATGGTAACCTCCTCGCATGTCGATTTTCGAGAAAAACTTGGCTCCACGAAGTTGGTCGAGAAGTTCGTCGGCTCGCGGAATCGGGTAACGCGACTTGATGGTGATCCGGTTGAGCGCGCAGTAGTCGATACACATTCTGAACCCTCCATCCTTCTTCGACGTGAACAGTATCGGGGCGGCGTATGGTGACGTGCTGGGCCGGATAAATCCTTTCGTCAGAAGGTAATCCAGCTGCTGCTATAATTCTTCGAGTTCGGGTTGGCTGAGCCGGAATTGGGGCTATACCGTTGCTTGGGTGCCTGGTTCCAGCTCGATTCGGTGGTCCTGAGGTCGGCTTGGTGGGAGTCCCGCTGGCAGATCGTCCGGGAAAATCTGAGGGTATTTTCGAATCAGGTGCACTAAGTCCGGAGGGACGGCCTCGCACAGCTTCTCTATAGCTTCGGTCTCGACCGTCGATATCACCTCGCGAAGATCAACGGCGTACGCTGCAACTCCAGCCTTCATCGCGCACTTGAAAGTGATCGCATGGACTTGGGTGCTTCGCATGCGAGGCCCCGTCCACTTGGGCAGCTCGCGAGAAATCCCATCAAGCTTGATGCTGCAGCCGCCCGTCGTCCAGTCAATCTTCGGGTTGTACCGTCGCAACCAATCATGTCCCAGCAGCACGTCGCATCCGTCGAGAGTAGTTGCCAGTAGTCCCATCCGAAATTTTACATGCTCCCCACAGATAAAACCCACGTTCTCCACTCGTTCCCGTATTGCCAGCGGTGTTCCGTCCACCAGTCGGGCGTCGATCTCAGGTAGACACTTGAGTAAGGGTATACCAATTTTTTTAGCCCTGTCGAGTTGTATGAGATTGTGACTCGCGCCTCCATCAACGAAAATCTTCAATAACACCCCGTTGACTTTACCCTCCACCAACACAGGGTGATCAGCCGTTTCGTCCCCCTTATTTGTTTGGGTCCGGTCGATTGCAGCAATCAGGATCACGACCCGGTGGAAACTGTGTGGTTCGGGCGAAGAAGCCTGCCCGTTAGTAAGGGGCCCGGTACTTACTGACGCGACCCATTTCCGGGTCACTCCTCCGGCTTCTTCCCTATAGAATTCTGGAGGGCTATGAATTCTTGGCAGTTGCGTTGGATGTGACCCGGCCGGCCACAGTGGTAGCATAGCCTCGAATTTCACGGAGCAACTGCGTAAATATCCACTGCGTCCACCCCTTTTATCGTGGTGCGCTGGTACTGTTCTCGAGGGCGACCTCCGTCATAGAAGTTCGTCCTTGGTTTTGTGATCGAATCAACGGCTTCGGTGAGTTGGATGTAGTCTTGTAATTGCTTCGCAGAGCGTTGTAGTTTTATCTGGTACTGTATTTTAGGCTTCAAGTCGCCCATGTACCTATCGACCTTCTCCAACTCGTGCATGTAGCCACATCTGTCCACAAACGTCAAGAATACGCGGTGTACTCAGACACAGATCCCACTGCTTCCACATGCGTAGAGTTTTGCGTGCCTTGTCTGAGTCAGGTGCATGCTCAAACCGCTTGCGAAGATCTGCACACCACGTTGCCCATGTGTGAATGTGGGTTGCTCCAAACAATAGATCTGCCTCGTCTTCGTCGCGACTCTTCGGACCACTCGTGCTGTCCTTCTGTGCGAGTTGCCGCTGAGTCGACAATGACCTTCCACCACTGTAGCGGCCCCTTGCAACAATGTTAACACGTGGCTGATCCGCTTCTGATCTCTAATGCCCGCCGCGTTAAAATAGATATTCATGCGAATATCCATGCGCACTGTCACGCCTTTATTAGCTGGGTCGAAAGGAGCGGGTTGCTGATATCTTACGCCGCCACTTGTCGAGCGCGGGGCTGTTCCGTAGTCGTGCCAGCTCCACTGGCGACGGTTGCTGCTCACCCGCCTCGCTTTGTGCATCGTCGTCCGGCTCCTTGATGCCTCTCCTGCGTTTGGCAAAGTCGCTGGTTCTCGTCGCGGAGGTGGACGATGCTTGTCAAATTCTTCAACTGCTCCATTAATGTTTGCAGGTCCACAGTTTCCCGGGCAGGGTTCGCAGCAGTCGAGGTGGACTGTCCCTCAACCGTCGAGTCTACCGGGGCCATGGCGATCAGGACGGGGCAGAAGCTAGCGCACACGCTGTAGTGTTGACGTAAAATATTTACGATCCAAGACAACTACTGTGCAGATGTGCTAGTCACCTTTGGAAACGTTGGACTGTGATAGCAGTTGTTATGATATAGGAAGTGTTAATGAACTATAACGTGAGAATACAAGGTCGCTATGTTAGAATACTAGAATGATCAAAACAAGTGTGAACAAGGGAGATATAGTGTTGGGGTTGTACCCTCTAAGAACATACACCTATCTAGCCTATAACTTCTACATACTAACATATGTATAAGTTGTCGCACCCCCTAGGCTAGATAAGGGGTAGTGTTGAGCAAGCAACATGCAGCTTCGGGTGGCACTACTAGTCGAACCTCTGAGGCAGGGGACCGAAGACCAGTCAGCAAGAGTTCAAACAAGGCAAGAACAAACCGGGCAGCACTACTAGTCCGCCACTGGAAGAGAAGCCACAAGGCCAGTCTGGAAGGAATAAATAAAGAGGAGTACACAATCAAGGTCCTAGCAAGTGAGATTCTACAGGAACTAGACCAAGCTGCAAACAGTGCCTCTGATGATCTCTATGCGCAAGTGCCTTAGTAAAGATATCAACTGTGTTGGAACCTGAGGCCAAGTGTACTACGCGGGCTTGGCGACGCTGCTATAGCTCACGCAGGAGGAAGTACCGCAGCTGGATGTGCTTCGCTCTGCCCTCAAGTCGAGGCTCCTGACACAGGAGGATCATGGCCCTGTTGTCAGCGTACAGGACCGGGGCAGAACTAGGTCGCTCACCTAAGTCGGCAAGCAAGAACGTCAGCCAGCGGAGCTCCTCTGCCGCCATGGCATCGGCGTAGATCTTAGCCTCACAGCTAGACTGGGCAATAGACGAGGAGCGAGTGGACCTCCACGAGATGGCAACTGAACCAAGGCCAAAGAAGTAGCCCTGTGAGGACCTGAGGATCTCACCTTCGTCTGCCCAAGAAGCGTCTGTGTGCCCAGTAAGGACCACTGGCCTGTGTCCTCCAGCACTAGCCCATGCCGATGTACTCGCAAGATAACGCAAAACCCTCTAAGCGGCCGACCAGTGCTGGGGTCGGTGTCTGCCGGTGGCCACAAAGCGAGTCAGGATGTTGAGAGGGTATGCGCGATCTGGACGAGTGGAAGTCATCAGGTACATGAGGCAACCCACCAGCTCTGCGTAAGGACCACTGGGCTCTACCGACTCCTCAGGAACTGGAAC